GGGAGGTAACATTTTGGAGGGCCACATATGAGGAGGAGAGCACCCCACGTCTATCCCTCCCCGACTGTGACCTTCCACGATCCTCCCTGACTCAGAGCCTCCACTTCGTATCTATACAATGGGAGTGTCTGTGAGGAGCTCAGCCTTTAGACAATGGGACCCAGGAGCCCCAAAGAAGGGAGGTGAGGTGACTTCAGAGGCTCACATGATGACAGAGTTCTTGTAGAGTTCTTTCATAACTATGTTAATTTTTTTAAAAAAGAATTATTTTATTTATTTATTTTAATTTGATCAGAGAGGGACAGAGAGAGAAAGAGAGAGGGAAATTGAGAAAGTAAGCCGCCAGGTCCGAGACTCAAACCGTGGTCGGCCATGTGGGAGTCCAGTGCCCTTAACCTCCACACCACCTACTGGACCCTTCATTTTTTTGAGAGATTTTTGCTATAGGGCGCATGCGCTTGCTGGAGAGACAGGCACAGAGAGACAGAAAGTGAGAAATCACTCTCCGGGAGGATGGCCACGTCTCAAACTCTTCTCCATTCTCCTCTGGGATTTTGGGCATGTACACACATGTGCCTGGGGTGATTATTTTTCTTTCTTTCTTTTTAAGAAATATTTTTGTTATTGGGCACATAGGCTTACCAGAGAGACAGAGAGAGACAGAAAGTGAGAAATCACCCCCCACCCCCCCCGGGAAGTGGCCACACCACAATTCCTTCTTCTCTATTCTCCTCTTGGGATCTTGGGCACGCATGCACATGCACCTGGCATGAGTTTAAGTCACCACATCAGGGCACCATGGTCGACTCTGTCGGAGTCCGGTCTGTGATCTGTACCGCAGTCAATCACGTGGGAGTCCAGCGCCTTAACCACTATGCCACCTGCCACTGTGTCCCAACTGTGTGTTAATTTTAACATGACTTACCAACACTGGTCACCCATTTATCACTACCTACCTATGAATTATGAGCAGCTATCGTCTACCTATGAGTATCATCGATACGTACATCTGTCCATCCATCCATCTGCATCTCCCCACCTACCCGCGTACCTACCTATCATCTGTTTACACGAAACTGGTGATGTCACAGCCCAGGGCGAGACTCGGCAGCTAGTTAACCTTCGAGTGAGTCACTGCAGACAAATAAGTGCCTACACAGGCCGCAGCGCGGAGAGTCGGTCCCTGGATCCGGAACACGGCCTAGCTTGAGTTCCAGTCCTGCCACTCTCTATATGTGACTTCAGGCAAGCCCCTGAAGGTCTTGGCCTCTGTAAGATGGGGACAATCCGAGATTTCATTTTGGAGGGTATCCTGCCACTCAAAGGAGTACATTCTGCACCGCTAGGAGTACCTGCTGGCGCTTGTCATGACATCGCTTCTGGATAATTCCTCAACATCTCGCCCTCTGAGGTTTCCCAGATGGAGAAACTGAGGCTGGGTGGGATTAGGATGTCCAGAGAGGGGAGGGTCCAGCGATCCCCATGCCCTCGAGAGCTGGGGAGGCATCTGGGGTCTGTGACTGAGCAGGACTGAGGGCAGAGGACAGCACCCCCACCCCCAGGTGAGACAATGAGGCCCCAGACTCCAGCTGTGTAGCTTCCTTCCTGTCTCCGCTCACTTCCCTGCCTGTGTCCACAGCCCAGCTGGCCAGGAGCCCCTTCCTGCAGCCCCTGCGGGAGGCCTGACCTTTGTGTCCACCGGGAGGGGCTGGGGGCCAGGGGCAGGCGAACACGTACTGACCAGGCCCAGTCGGGAGGGACTGAGGTGGCAGCGCAGAAGGCGTCTGTGATCAGGCCTTGCCGTGCCTGCTCCTGGAGTCTGAGCCACCGCTGGGGGTAGAGATCCTCACTTGGTGATCTGAGCTGGCAGATGGCCCCTCTGGGCCTCCATTTCCCTGCAGGTACAGTGTATGGGGAGAGTGTGGAGAAGTGAGAGAAGATGCCAGGCTATTGTCTTGCTGAGGAGGTGACTGAACCTGGGGAGAGCCTGGGGTGGTCCATTCCTCAGTTGCTTGCCCTGAGCTGAGTCAGCGGCCAATCAGCCTTCTGTCTACTCCGGGTTACAAGCTTCCATTGGGCAAGTCAGACGACAGGGGACCTAGACTCCTGAAACAGCCTTGGTTCTCAGTCTCCTCGTCTGTAAAACGGGGTGCAGGGAGATATCCCCTATCTCCAAGGCTCTGCTGCAAGCCTACACGCCCTTGCTGCCACACTTTCCGTGGCTCCCATTCCCTTCAGATCATGAATGCCTGCCCATCTGATCTGGCCCCAGCCAGTCTCACCCAAGCGACCTGTTACCTCACCCCAACCCAGAGCTGGCCCCAACCCAGCCATGATTCTGGCCATAGGCCTTAACCACTCTGGCCATAGGCCAGTATCATGGCTGTTCCTAAGCAGCCCATTCCCCTACCTGCTCCCTCAGCTCAGCTGACACCTCTGGGAAGCCTTCCCTGACCTCCTGTGGGCTCTTGCAGCTGTAGACCCCACCCTCATATCATACTGCTGTATCTGGACTTTGGGAACCGAGCACCACCCCAGCCAGCTCCAGGCTGGTCCAGAGCACAAGCTCTGGGAATGCTCACTGAATGGATGAGTGAATAAATGAATAACTGACTCAGGGGAAATCACATAACATCTCAAACAAGCTAGAGTTTCCCCTCCCTCCAGGATCCATGGGACCTTAGAGGTGTTTAATACAACCCCTACCTCCTGAGCAAACTAGTCCCTGCACTTGAGAGATGAGAATGACCCCCCTCCTTCCCTCTGCAACCAAGAGACCTGCATCTCCAAAATCATCTCTCTCCTCACCTGGCTCGCACTGAGCCCACCTCTGCCTCAGGGCCCTTGTGCCCGCCTGTCCCTGCTTACTCCTCCCTGATTGGCATCGTTCGGAACTCTCAGAGAGTTGCCCTCTAGCAACCTTGGCTGTGGTTGACTCTCCATGACGGTAGCTTTTTTTTTATTATTATTCTTTTATTTTAATTTGACCAGAGAGAGACTCGAACTGTGGTTGGCCATGTGGGAGTGTCCAGCAGTTTAACCACCATGCCACCTGCTGGTCCCCGATCACAGTAGCTTTTGTTCCCTTCATCCCAAATCGGAAGTTCTGGTCCCTGGATTTACCTGCCCACAGGTTTGCCGGCTGTCTCTGCCCTAATGGTTACCAGCTGCAAGAGCAGCCACACCTGTCCATTCAACAGGGGATTCTGCACACCTGGAGCAGGGCCTGGCACACCGCACGCACCAATGATATGCGTTAAATTGGTGACTAAATGGAACCAGGCCCAGCTTGCAACCACCTAGGGACAATCAGCTCAGCTGCTTTCCAGAGAAGCCCATCTCCCTGCTGTCTGGAAGCAAATTCCAGGGCAGACTTCAATCTGCTCCCTTGCAGCCCCCTTTCCTCCTCTGTGTCACAGCAAAGGCTCCTACGAAGGAGCCAGCATCCTCCTCGGCCCACTTCCATGGCCCAAAGCCATCGCAGGGGGCCGTGCTCCCCTAAACGTGCCACAGAAGGTCGACCAGGGCAGCCTGAGCTCAGGGCATGCACAGAGTGGTCTTTCCTGCAGTTCACTGTCCAGTGTTGGCATAGGAGGCAGATCCACCGGGCTGGGCCCATTTGGGAAACAGATATGAGGGCAAAGGGGCTGCAGGCCTTGCAGGGTTGGGCACAGGCTTCCTGATGACAGAGACTGGCCGAAAGTGCCAGACTGTCTGGATGATCAAGGAGAGGTTCCAGTGTCCACAGGATCGGGAAGGCAAATGTGACTGAATGGCTGGTAGGTGCAGGGTAATAGGAACTGGCGAGGTCTGTGGCTAACAGAAGTGCAGGTCCTCCTCAGCGCCTTCCAACTACACACAGGCAAATGTGGGCTCAGATTGGGCAGGGCTTTTTTATTTTAAATAATCTGAAGCTCAGGTGTCTCATATCTTGGCCTTTTTTTTTTTTCTATAGGGTACATGTGCTTTCTGGTGAGAAATCTCCCACCTCCCACCCCCACCAGGCAAGACGGCCATGCCACAATCCCTTCTCCTCCATCCTCCTCTCGGAATATTGAGCATGGACGCACACACACACCCAGAGAGATTTCCAAGTCATTAGGTCGGGGACTAAAACAGTGTAGTTGGGGCCGGCAGGTGGCGTGGTGGTTAGAGGCACTGGACTCCCACATGGCCGACTGAGGTTTGAGTCCTGGACCTGGCGGCTCAGTTTCTTTCTCTCTCTCTCTCATTCTCTTACTCTCACTCTGTCCCTCTCTGGTCAAATAAATATATCTATAAAGTTAAATAAGATAATTCTAAAAAAACCAAAAACAAACAAACAAACAAAAAACAGTGCAGTTAGCCATGTAGGATACAGTTGCCTTAACCTCCACACCACCTGCTCGCTCGCCCTCATATCTCCACTTTTTATTTTTGGAGAGATTTTCTCTGTAGGGCGCGTGCGCTCGCCAGACAGACAGAGAGAGACATAGAGACAGAAAGCGAGAAATCACCCCCCAGGGGGGATGGTCACGCCGCAATCCCTTCTCCTCCATTCTCCTCTCGGGATCTTGGGCACGCACGCACACGCGCCCGGCTTGAGTTTTAAGCCACCGGGTCCGGGACACAAACCGCGGTCGACTACGTGGGAATCCAGCGACATAGCCATTACGCTAACTGCTGGTTCCCTCATATCTCCACTTTTAAACACTGACCACTGTAGTGAGACCTAAGGAAGGTATCAACTCGTAGGCAAGCTGCCCCAGGAACAGCCAGTTTGAGATCTCTGCTATAAAACACACCTCTGTCCAGTTTTGACTTCTACTCTGTCCACCTTTCCCACCAGACAGAGGTTATTTGTTGCCCAGGATGGAGGATCCCCATATTTTAGCCCTTTCCTCAAAGCCTCTCAGGCCCGTTGAGGAATAGATCGACCAGCAGAGGGCGCTCCAGACATGGGCTTGCCCCTACCCCAACTCCAGGTTGCAAAGACCAGCCTCAGTATTGTGACAGGCATTCCTAGGTTCAGGGATTTTGGTTCCCACAAAATGAGAGTGTGGGTCAGAGGCCATAGGCTGAGACAAGGAAAACGAGGAAGCCCAAGGCCATGTACCTGTGAGAACTGCGTGGTCCAGCCTGTCTTATTTGCTGCAAATTCAGGGCTTGCACTGAGGGGCACACTGGGAGGACTTGAGGCCTCTCTGAACCTGTTTCCTCTTCTGTAAAGTGGGGTGGCTATAGAGAGGGGAGCATACAGTGCCTGGCAAGGGCAGGAGGGTATGGCCCACTGCACACCCTCCTCCCTCCTTACCAAATAGCGAGGGGTCAGGCCAGAGCCGCTCCCTGCCGGGCCTGAGGATGTCTGCAGCCCTGCCTGGCACCGCTGAGAGCTCCCCCATGCCCCTGCCACAGCCAGGATTCCTGTGCCCGGGCTCACCAACAGCCACACACTTCAGCTCGTTGGTGTGCACGTTGTTAACTGGAGCTCAATAATTGCTTATAGCTCCTCTCCTTTGAAACACCCAGTGAAATGCACACATCTTAAATGAGCCATGTGAAGACTTCTGACATATTCACACACCTGGGTAACCCCCACCACATCAAGGTACAGAAAGCTGTATCATCAGGAAGTTCTCCTGGGCCTGCTGGGAACGGAACCATTTCCGCCTCTACCCAGTCCACATGCTGACGCCCTAACCTCCAACGAGCCGGGATGCAGAGGCAGTGTCTTCGGGAGGGAAATACAGTGAGATGAGGTCGTACGTGTGGGACCCTAATCTGGCAGGACTGGATTTCCGAGAAGAGGAAGAGGAAGAGAACTGTTTCTCTCAGTGAGAAATGGAATTCTCCTTTTCCTTTTTATACTCATTTGTGCATGTATGTAGAATACTTTGTCACTTTTTTTTTTTTCATTTTGCCAGAGAGCTCACTAGAGACAGAGAGAGAAAGTGAGAAAGCCCCTCCCATGCGGTTGGTCGCACCATCCCTTCTCCTCTATTTCTTCCTCCTTTTGGGATTTTGGGCACTCATGTACCTGTGCCCAGCCTGTCTTTTCAAGCTTCTAGGTCCAGGATTCAAACCACACAGTTGGCCGTGTGCGATGCAGTCACCTGAATCACCATGCCACGGGCTGGCCCTGTCACATTATTATCATTTAAGAAATCATCAAGTTTCTGTTTGGGATGACGAAAAAGCTTTGCAAGTAGTGGTGAACGTGGTTAGTGCCACTGAATTGCACACTTGAAAATGGGTATCATGGCAAATTGTGTGTTACTTGTATTTTACCACAATTTTAAAAAATGGGTAATATGGCGTGGTGGTTAAGGTGCTAGACTCCCACGTGGCTGACCACGGTTTGAGTCTTGGACCTGGTGGCTTGCTCTTTTTTTTTTTTTTTTTTTTTTTTTTGTGGTGTTTTTTTTTTAGTGGCGGTGG